GCTGCATCAACAGAGGGATAGAATCAAGATCACGTGAAGTATTAATACCACTCTTCAATGCCTTGGTAAGGCCACACTTGGAATACTGCATCCAGTTTTGGTCACCACTATGTAAAAAAGATGTTGAGACTCTATAAAGAGTACAGAGAAGAGCAACAAAGATGATTAGGGGACTGGAGGCTAAAACATATAAGGAACGGTTGCTAGAATTGGGTATGTCTAGTTTAACGAAGAGAAGGACAAGGGGGACATGATAGCAGTATTCCAATATCTCAGGGGCTGCCATAAAGAAGAGGGAATTAAGCTATTTTCCAAAGCACCTGAAGGCAGGACAAGAAGCAATGGGTGGAAACTAATCAAGGAGAGAAGCAACCTATAACTAAGGAGAAACTTCCTGACAGTGAGAACAATTAATCAGTGTAACAGCTTGCCTCCAGAAGCAGTAAATGCTCCAACACTGGAAGTTTTTAAGAAGAGACTGGACAGCCATTTGTCCGAAATGGTGTAGGGTTTCCTGCCCGAGCAGGGGGTTGGACTAGATGACCTCCAAGGTCCCTTCCAACTTTACTATTATTATTATTATTATTATTATTATTATTATTATTATTATTATTATTATTATTATTATTATTATTATTATTATTTACTTTCTGAAGAACAATATGAATTTCTCATCATGTGATATAGATAGATTTACTATTAGCAGTTTGTCAAAAATGTGCCTGAAACACAAGATTATGATTTGTATTTCATTTCCATTTTTCCTGTTTCAGAATGATGATTTTTTTTAAACCTGTTCTTACTAATCTATTTCCTCTGCATACATTTTGATCCTCAGGAGGCTGACAAGATAAATGTGACTGAAAGTAACTGCACTTTCAGAAATATGTAAATTTTGGATGGAGAAACAGCTGTATGTTAAAAACTCAATCATTATAAAAAGTGAGTTCATTGTGTAACTACCTGCTTGGAAGATCCAGGGAAGAAATCAAACATCAACAGAGAAGCTAATGTATGTGTGAAGAACATCTCATATTCTATCACTAGCATGTCCAGATAGAATTAAAAAAAAAATTATGCCTGTGATCCCAGGAAGTAACTGGCAGTTAACATAAAAGGGTTTCCTAAATGAATTGGGGAACTGATTAATGAAGATGGGCCTCCTTCTATAAGTAAAGATCTAGGAGCACATAAGTGTTCTACCCTCTCTTGAATACACAGAAGAACAACTACTTGATAAACTAAAATATCAAAACAAAAATGAATTAATATGGTTTTTCTCCTACCACTAAATGTTACTGCTCTTTTGCATCTTCCTGAATGAAGACAAATGAAGAAAGCTGAAAGCCTTCTGAATTGTTCTTCCTCCCTTTTCCTATTATTTTTAATAAAGGAAAGTAAATCTAATTAAAAGTCTATTTATCTTACTGAAATAGTTTTTTGTCTCTTTTTTCTCTGTCTGTGCATACTTATGTACATTCACAGAATGTGTATTTCAGGGTTAGTTATAGAGGTTTTATTTTTGGCAATAACATCAAAATAAATTTCCAGAGTGTTCTGGAATGTTGCTGTTTTTTTTTTCAGCTTTCCAGTTTAGTTTCTTACTGGTCTTTAATCCAAGTGTAATCAGATCCAATTTGTGCTTATCTTTCATGGACAGCCAAATGTGCCGAAGTACAAAGGAGCATCCAACTGCCTTTGTGGGATGCTGGTCATAGATTGAGTTAAGGCATGTAAAACCAACTACTGTCCCCAGAAAATAGTGGACTGTCCTTTGGTCAATGTCTTCAAGCTGAAGCTAGCCAGTATGTTAATTGAGATTCCTTCAGCATATAAATTAGATTCTAATCTCAATAGCCATTTCCAACTCTATGATTTCACATTTTCTATACACGATTGACAACATTTAACCCAGTTATGAAGGGATGATTCAGACATCCTGGATAAGATCGTATCTTATTTATATGTACACAAAGTGTAATGCAGTCTCCCAAGTGAAACTATTTGTTTGAATGAGGAATTGTGCCAAATGACAAAATGATAAGCATATATATAGTCATTTCATAAAACAGAATGTGCATATTCCTGCCCATTAACAAGTGGCATTCAATTATGGCAAAGAGAAAGAAAAAAGATGTAACTTATTAAGTGAAGTTTCGTCTAGGGCAGTCTTTCTTAATCTATTTACCATAGAAGAACCCTTGAAATAATTTTTAGGCCCTAGCAAATGAATTGCAGCATGTCAAAATTTCCACAGTTGCAAGCATTAACATCATGTAGTGCATGAATTTCTAAATATATATTTTTAATTACAATATCTAAGATTCCATAGAAGCCCAGTTGGCCTTGAAATTAAAAAATCTCATTTTTCTAAGAGTCTTAGAAAAGACCCTTAAAGCTTGTTATTTAAAACCTATAGCCAGCTGCCACATTTGCAACCAACATGTTAAAATAATGTCTTTTTCTATTCTTTTTCCATATATTCTTGGGGTTGTGTTGGCTTTGTGATTTGGGCTAGTTTACATACATTGATTTTAATATAGCAATCAGGCTATGCTATAATTTTTGAAAATTAATATTTAACAAAAGCATGGCTATAAATTTGCATATATGACAAAAACAGCATATAAGTCTAACACAATACTTCTATAAATCCATAGAAAATTGTATCTAATCACTTGCCCCACATAAGGTCCATTTAAGATTTTCCAACACCAAATTTATTAAAGCCCATTTAAGATTTCCCAGCAACAAAAATAATATGTGATGAACATATATTAATTTTTGCCAATCCAGAGCAACCAATTCCTCAAAAAATAATAAATCATCTCAGGAACATTAGGAATCATTGGATTAGGAATAATAATTTCCCTGCTCAAGTTACATCCTAATTTTATGCATAATGGGATAATGCTTATATTAGATCTAATAATATATATATATATAACCTTCAAATAGAATGGTTTTGCATTTTACAGAATTCTTCTTAGGATGATAGAATGGATGGCTTTCTGTTGCTGGCCTGTTTGCATCCACATACAAATAACAACAACAACTAAGTTGGAAGGGACCTCGGAGGTCTTCTAGTCCAACCCCCTACTCAGGCAGGAAACCCTATACCATTTCAGATAAATGGTTGTCCAGTCTCTTCTTAAAAACTTCCACTGTTTGAGCATTCACAACTTCTGGAGGCAGATTGCTCCACTGATTAATTGTTCTGTCAGGAAATTTCTCCCTAGTTCTTGGTTGTTTCTCTCTTTGATTAGTTTCCATCCATTGCTTCTTGTCCTGCCTTCAGGTGCTTGGAGAATAGATTGACTCCCTCTTCTTTGTGGCAGCCCCTAAGATATTGGAACACTACTATCATGTCACCCCTCGTCCTTCTCTTCATTAAACTAGACATACCCAATTCCAGCAACCATTCCTTATATGTTTTAGCCTCCAGTCCCCTAATCATCTTTGTTGCTCTTCTTTGTACTCTTTCTAAAGTCTCATTATTTATTTATTTATGAGACTTATATACCGCTTATACCGCTTACCGCTTATCTTTTTTACATCGTGGTGACCAAAACTGGATGCAGTATTTCAAGTGTGGCCTTACCAAGGCATTATAAAGAGATATTAACACTTCACATGATCTTGATTCTATCCCTCTGTTAATGCAGCCTAGAACTGTGTTGGCTTTTTTTGGCAGCTGCAGTACACTGCTGACTCATATTTAAGTGATTGTCCACTAATACTCCGAGATCCCTCTCACAGTTACTACTATTGAATGAGGTACCCATCTATACTGTACCTGTGCATCTGGTGTTTCTTGCCTAAATGTAGAACTTTACTTTTTTCACCACTGCATTTCATTTTGTTAGATAGCACCCAATGTTCAAGTCTGTCAAGATCCTTCTTTATCTTAAGCCTATCTTCTGGAGTCTTGGCTATTCCTGCCAGCTTGGTGTCCTCTGCAAATTTGATGAGTTTCCCATCTATCACCTCATCTATCCCTCAAGTACACAAGTTATTTTGTATTTAGCATCTATAAAGGCATATAGCAAATCTGCAAGCTTGTATTCTAATAGTTGATCCTAATAAAATTAAGAACATAACTATTGCAGTCTGTTGATGTGATTAAAGCACCAGTCTAGAAGCTGGGAGAGCATGAGTTCTAGTTCCATCATAGGCACAAAGCCAGCTGAGTGATCTTGAGCTACTCTCTTTCTCTCAGCTCTAGGAGGCAATGGCAAACCACTTTTGAAATCTTGGTGAGAAACTGCAGGGGCTTGTCCAGAGAGTTGCCAGGAGTCAATACTGAATCAAAAGCACCAAAAAGCATGTTCTGTGTCTTTTATATATTGTTTATATATTGTTTTTGAAAACCTAATGCATATTTACTTAAGAGGTTACATCAAGGAAGCAAAACAGGACATAATTCCAGGTAAGGGAGAACCAGAAAAAGGTACTTGGAAAAGGTGCTTCATCCTGCTTGAAAAATTCATGGAGCTGTACCTACTCTTTCCTGAAAAATAGCTGCTGTAACTAGAAATGCTAAAAACTTAAGATGTTATTTACCCTCTCCCCATGGAGATTCTCAACCCTAAATGTTTTGGCTGCCTGTTTTGTTTTCCCATCAACTTTGTGGTCAGAGTGAGCCATGAAAAAACGGTCACCTCTTCCCATGACAAGCTGCTCTCACCTCCTCTTTCTCCCCTTGGGGAAATAAGAGTCTTCCACCAGCACTTCTCTCCCTCCTGCACCCTTCAGAGCGTGAGAACCAGGCAAAGCAATGGCCTGGAGAGAGTCCCACAGCAGAAGCAGACTCACTTCTCAGCTCCACCAGGCATGAAACAAGGAGGAGGAAGAGCCTACGGAAAACTTTCACCCCACTTCCTGATAAGAAACAAGGAAGCAGAGCCAGTTCCAGTGGGGAAATGACAGTGGTTTTCTATGCACACATTTGGCCCTGAGGTTTTTCAGGTAAAACTGAAGCCCACATGGCTTCTACTTACTTGATGTCTTCCCAGATTTCAGGGCCGTAATTCCGAATCACCAGCAGCTCCAGGGCGTGATTGACAAAACCATACTGTGAAAGATAAAAGCCAGGAAAAATCTTTCATGGCTAGAAGGCTTTGGAATACTTAAGAGTAGCAAAGGGCAAGAGGGAAAAGATGGGTGGAAACCGGAGAAAAATCCAAGTTGGGTTCAAAATAAGCAAGAGACTAGGTAGGAAAGCTGACAACTGTCCCTTCACCTACTCCAAGTATTTAATACTTATTCAAGACAAAATTGAATGACCCACTGAAGGCGGAGCTATTGCACAGAAGGGGAGAGGGAAGGGAAATGCGAGAGACAATCCGGACTGGGACGGATAGGAGGGAGCAGGGTGGGCCGCTGCATCGCTCCGCTTGCACTCCTTTTTTCCTTCGGAGCTCTTCTCTTCCTATCGTCCCCCCATCTCCCACCTCAGCACCGCGCATCTTTTCCTTCCCCACCTCTACTGCTAAAGACGAACCAGCACCCTCTGACGGGCCCTTGGAAGCGTCGCATTCACACTCACCATCGCGTCTGCAGTCTACCCTTCCCCGGCTTGGCGGGATACCGTTCCAGCAATGGCTTAGCGAAGCAAATGCTGAAGAAGAGCAGGCAAGCAGCAGTTCGGCGCGACAGCCGCCCACGCGGGCACCCTCTGATTGTCACCGGACCGTAGCCAATCGCAAGATCAGCCAACAGGGTGACTTCCAATCAGAAGCAGAGGAGGAATTTGGGTACTCTTCTGGGTCCGGGCGGGGGACGAGAGAGGCCGGGGGAGGAAAATTGATTAGAGGGCAGGAGAATGCGGGCTGATGTACATAAAGCTGGCAAAGGCGTGAATCCCTCGATTGTGGGGGGGGGGGGAGAAGAAGATGCGAAACCTCGCATTATAAGTGTTCACGTGTGATGCCCCTAATGCGGTGAGAGCAGGATCTTCTCTGTTTCGCACATTCATACCGCTTTCTCCAGCAATATTAGATGATGCCCGGTCGCCTTAGTTACCAGTTTGCTTTTTTTCTGATTAATATAGAGATGTACCTTTCTAGAAATGGATTTTTTCAATCTTATAGGGAAACTATCTCTGTTATATTTCACTGCCTTAGCTTACTTGAATGAATAGAGTCAATTCTATCCATGATTTCATCTCCAGGAAGTACAGTATACACATTCTTGTAATCTGTTACATTTTTTTTATTTATTAAATTTGATGGCCGCCCATTTCGCCACAAGGACATTTTGTGTAGCTTCCAAGATTAAAATAAAGCCATAAATATATGAATAAATAGATAAAATTACATTAAAATTAAAAATGCAAGTTATAACTAAAGATGGGGAAGAAGAGGGGAGAATGAGGGATAGGGGAAAACTGCTATTAATTGATCAACTGCTAGTGTGAAATTTCCCCATTGGAGCCCCAAGCCAACTGGCAGAGCCAGATCTTCAGGCTTTTGCGAAAGTCTAGTTCTCCAATCCAGGTCTCCAACAAGCTCAGGGATGCTGCTTCTTGATCCTTAGATATTCTGTCCCCTCAAGAACTGGACATTACAGATTGTCCCTTACAGTCTTTTTCAGTTCATTTCAGCTGCCAATTGACAACAAAGATGTGGATTCTGTTGTAGTTTAGACCTTATTAATAATTGCATATGGAAGAGCCAATCTGACAGCACTCAACTGAAATTATAATTACAGCTGAATGACCAGGATTAATAATATTAGCATAGACTGTTCCCAAAGGAAATGGAAAAATGCTGTGATTATTTACCAAATTGTTTCATGATTAAAATGAACATTAAACAGGGGGGGGATAAAAACCATAACATTTTCCAAAATTATATATGTACATAGATGGGAAGCATTAAAACAAGGATAAGGGATATGAACCACTTCATTACTGAATTACAACTTTTTCAACCATCATGGATTATGGTGAGGAATATTGGTAACTATAATAGAACAATATTTTGAAGCCTACAGTTTCCCCACCCACTAGAATGCTAAATATTTCAAAAATATTTCTTAAGGTCTCATTTAAAATGTTTCTTTCTGCCCTCCCCAGGTCTTCTGAGATCCATTTTAAAATTGCAGTAATGTACTGTACTATACTGTCTTGCAAAAGGCATTAGAAATTGTTGATGATATATTGAAAAATTGTATGAAATAAATTGGCAGAAATAAATCAAGAAATGACATTGGTGCCTTCTATTTTTTGGAAATAACTGATAAAGATATGGAGTACAATGATTCAAAGCAATAGTGTAAATTCAGAGGTATGTTAATATTGGATTTTTAATTATACTGTGATTATTAACATCTATGAAGTAGAAAAGGAGAAACTGTAATGTATTAGATATGCTTTGGTGATGATGCAAAATTAGCCCTTAGCAGAATTATTCAAGTTTCTCATTATCTAAATTTATTACATTTTATTGCAAATTATGGTTCAATTCAAATCACTCCCTTCCAATTTTCAGGTTATTGGTAAGTAAAATGAAATATGAATCCAAATTCTCACTGCACCTAGGTTGCAATTGACTAGAAATAAGCGATTTGATTAAAAATCTGTAAAACAGCCAAACTACACATCCAGTATAAAACAATGACATCTAATCAAAGAAAATTTTATTATGATCAGTTTGTTGTTGGAATATAAGATAATCAAATGATTTTGCCAGGCTGATTCACAATTTACAGATTACTGCATTCATTTTCTATATTTATAACCTACACTTTTCTGCTTCATCTGAACTTTTCTCATACTGAATTTATAAAATGTGATATGTGAACTTATGAATTTATTTCAAGGATTTTGATGTGTTTCTTTCTCATGGGCCTATATTTATAAAAACAGGGAGAAAACAGAACTACTCAATTCATTTTTTGCATCTGTATTTACACAAAGGGGGAAAAAAGGCCAACCTATCAAAAACAGTACCGTAAAAAACAGATTAGAAACACAAGTTAAGATAGGCAATAAAATGGTAAGTGAGCACCTGTCCACCCTAGATCAGTTCAAATCACCAGGACCAGATGGTGTACCCCAAGGTTCTGAAGGAACTGGCAGATGTGATCTTAGAACCACTGAACTATGTCTTTCAAAGATCCTGGAGCACTGGGGAACTACCAGAGGACTGGAAAAGAGCTGATGTAGTTCCCATCTTCAAAAAAGGGGAAAAAATGGATGCAGGAAACTACAGACCTATCAGCCTGACCTTAATACCTGGGAAGATCTTGGAATCAAGCAACGAATCAGCAAACACCTTAAGGCAAATAAAGTCATTACCAAAAGCCAACATGGATTTGTCAAAAACAGATCATGCCAGACAACTCTTATTGCATTCTTTGACCAGGTGACAAAATTAGTGGACCAGAGGAATGTTGTGGATATAATTTACTTGGACTTCAATAAGGCATTTGATAAAGTAGACCACAACCTACTACTTGATAAAAAAAATATGGGTTAGACAGCATCACCACCAGATGGATTCATAGCTCGCTGACTGGCTGTACTCAGCATGTGGTCCTCAATGGAACTGCATCTACCTGGAGGGAAATCTGTAGTGGGGTGCCCCAGGGCTCTGTTCTGGGCCTAGTGCTCTTCAACATCTTCATCAATGATTTGGATGAGGGGATGGGAAACTCATCAAATTTGCAGATGACACCAAGCTGGCAGCAATAGCCAACACTCCAGAAGATAGGCTTAAGTTAAAGAAGGATCTTGACAGACTTGAACATTGGACACTATCTAACAAAATGAAATTCAATGGTGAAAAAAATAAGGTTCTATATTTAGGCAAGAAAATCCAAATACCACATATAGGTGGTATCTTGCTCAATAATAGCAACTGTGAGAGGGATCTCGGAGTCCTAGTGGACAGTCACTTAAATATGAGCCAGCAGTGTGCTGCAGCTGCCAAAAAAAGCCAACACAGTGGGTAGGCTGCATTAACAGAGGGATAGAATCAAGATCATGTGAAGTGTTAATACCACTTTACAATGCCTTGGTAAGGCCACACTTGGAATACTGCATCCAGTTTTGGTCACCACGATGTAAAAAAGACACTGAGACTCTGGAAAGAGTACAGAGAAGAGCAACAAAGATGATTAGGGGACTGGAGGCTAAAACATGTAAGTAACGGTTACTGGAATTGGGTATGTCTAGTTCAGGGGTGTCAAACTGCCAGCTCGCATGCCGGATGCATCATATCGAAACCGCACCCACTCCATTGCCGGTAATGGCAAAAAAGTCACAATACGTCATGACATGTCACGTGACATTGCGAATTTGACACCCCTGGTCTAGTTTAATGAAGAGAAGGACGAGGAGTGACATGATAGCAGTGTTCCAATATTTCACATAGAAGAGGGAATCAACTATTTTCCAAAGCACCTGAAGACAGGACAAGAAGCAATGGATGAACACTAATCAAGGAGGGAAGCAACCTAGAACTAAGGAGAATTTTCCTGACAGTTAGAACAATTAATCAGTGGAACAACCTGCCTCCAGAAGCTGTGAATGCTCCAACACTGGAAGTTTTTAAGAAGAGACTGGACAGCATTTTTCTGAAATGGTATAGGGTTTCCTGCAGAGGGTTGGACTAAATGACCTCCAACGTCCCTTCCAACATTATTATATTATTATTATTTGTTCATAAAAATCTCTGCACTGTCAAGACAACTCTCTCTCTCTCTTTCTCTGTGTGTGTTAGTGTGTCAGTCTCTCCATTCATCCACATAAATTGATTCTTAAGTCTACAGGAAATTCATTATAGAAAAAGAATATGGGGGGAGGAGTTCTTTTGATATCAGTATTCCCATCCCTCAAAATGGCACAACTCCATTTTCTCTAGACATCTTCAACTGACTAGACTAAATTAACCTGAAACAATCGGACAATCTGGATTTTAATGCTATATACCAGGGGTCCCCAACCTATGGGCCGCAGCCCACTACCGGCCGGAGCCTCCTGGCCAGCGGGCCATGGAAATGGCTGTACTCCCTCCACTTGTGTTAGCACCTGTGGCCCCACTTGCACATGTCTGCGGGCACAAATGGGGCCGCTAGCGCTGGGTAGGTGTGTGTGGCCCATTTGCACATGTGCGAATGGGGCCGCTAGCTGCCATGGGGAGGTGCATGGCCATTCACACATGCGCATGGCACTAGCTCATGCCGCATATGCAAATGCAACCACTAGTGCACCAGTGAATGTGGCCCCATTTGCGTGTGCCCATGTGCACACACCAATTTGGAAGTTGCTCTCCTTCCGTCCCGGCTGCAAGCCCGGAAAGGTTGGAGAGATCTGCTATATACAATGAATTGTAATTCTACACTGAGCCATGATGGCGCAGTGGTTAGAATGCAGTATTGCAAACTAACTTGCTCACTGTCAGGAGTTTGATTCTGAATGGCTCAAGGTTGATTCAGCCTTCCAACCTTCCAAGGTCAGTAAAACGAGGACCCAGATTGTTGGGGGCAATATGCTGGCTCTGTAAATCACTTAGAGAGGGCTGTAAAGCTTTCCAAAATACTGTACCTGGTTGGTCATCCAGTTTTTTCTAATGATAAATTTGAACTTGATTTCTTCTACACAGAAATCATTATCTGTATTGTCAAGATTATATATCTATTTGGGACTTTCCTTGCATCCCTTATCTAGTGCATTTGTAGTGCAGTAAAATTGAATGCTTGTCACTTTTTGCCAGCCTTTTCATT